GGGATGGGATGATTTGAGGCAGGTTTGCTTTTTCAAGGGGAAGCTTTCACCAAGTACTGACTGATTTCATCCCCCCCTCCCACCTCCTGCATTCATTTGGCCTATTGATGAGTAATAGGGTGTTTTTAAATCTTTTAGATCAGCCATGTTACCTTACATTTTAGTAATTCAGGCAGTTTCATGCAAATAACTTGATATTATTATGTCAATGTTATGTCAGTTGCTTTGTGCTACTTTTCAATTGTTCTTACATCTTGTAAGTGGTGGCAGACCCACTAGTGCAGTGGGATACAAACATGCAAAGAATTCCAGGGGCTTGCTCCCAGGCTGTGCTGAGTTGCTGGTCTCATGGAGAGGATAAATTAGCCCCAACTTTCCCTGTTAGGAAGATGAAATCAGCTAAAACAAACTAGTCCTGGTCCTACTGGTTGTGTGTGCAGGTGGGGGTGTCAGAGATAATTCCATGGCACCAACAAGTTACCAGGAAGGGCGATATCTCTGACAATGCAGAATCATAGTATCGTACAGCACAAAAAGAGGCCGTTCGGCCCATCGAGTCTGTGCCGGCTCTTTGAGAAGAGCAATGTAATGTCAATCCCACTCCCCAGCCCTTTCCCCATAACCCTGCAAACCCGTCCTCCTCAAATACCCGTCCACCACATTTTTAAAAGTAGTTATCAAATCGACTTCGATCACCCTTTCAGGCAATACGTTCCAGATTCTAACAACTCGCTGCCTGAAAAAATTTCTTCTCACCTTCCCTCTGCTTCTTTTAGAGACTATTTTGAATCTGTGACCTTGAGTCACCGACACACCCACCAGTGGAAACAGTTTTTCCCTTTCTAACCTATCAAATCCCTTCATGATTTTGAAGACCTCTATTAGGTCTCCTCGTAACCTTCTCTGCTCCAATGAGAATAATCCAGCCTCTCTAGCCTTTCCTCATAATCAAGGTCCCTCATTCCTCGTACCATCCTCGTAAATCTCCTCTGCACCCTTTCCAATGCCTTAACATCCTTCCTATAGTGTGGTGCCCAGAACTGGGCGCAGTATTCTAACTGAGGCCTAACCAGTGTTTGATATAGCTTAATCATAACCTCCTGACTCTTGTACTCTCTGCCCCTATTTATAAAGCCTAGTATCCCATATGCCCTTTTTACAGCTTTAACTACCTGTCCTGCCACCTTCAAGGATTCATTTACCTGCACCCCAGGTCTCTCTGTTCTTTCATCTCCCGTAAGATTGATTGTATTACCAGCCTATATTGCCTCCCCTCATTCTTTCTACCAAAATGCATTACCTCGCATTTCTCCGCATTGAAATTCATCTGCCATGTGTCTGCCCATTTTACCATTCTGTCTATGTCTTCCTGCAGTTGGCTGCTATCCTTCTCACTGTTTACCACCCTACCTAACTTTGTGTTGAATTAATGTGGGAATTCTTGTTAAGAAATCCTGTTAAAAAATGTCACAAGTTAGATACAATTTAGATAAATCGTCTCTGCACATTTCTCCCAGCTGTAACCCAGCTCATTTCATTTTGAGGAATTTACCAACCAAGTGACCCAAAACAGCTGTTTCTGCATTTCTATTGAGCAATGTGGGGCGAGCCGGAAAGTCGGATTAATAAAATGAAAGGGCTATTTAGAAAAGCAGGCAGCCAGTGGCACAAACATGATGAGCCCATTAGCTGAACAATTTCTGTTTTTCCATCTATCTTAAGACGTAGAGTTTTGTTTGTGGTCGATTGGGTATCTAACACATACGGAAACCCATCACCATGTTTAAGAGTATCAAACAAACAAATCCATGCGCACATGGAAATTCCAAAGATAAGATTGTTGGAATGGAGTGCGCACTCTCTTCTTGGAGGGAAGCATCCTGCTTACCTAATTCCCAAAAGTTATTCTCAGGAATCTGTGCTTGGTCCCCTCTTCAATATCTTGGTGACAACATCCGCAGACACGGGTTCAACTTCCACATGTATGCGAATGACACCCAACTGTATCTCTATGCCTCCACCCTCGATGCCAAGACTACTGCTGTCCTGACAGAATGTCTGTCAGATATCAAGTCCTGGATGAGAGCTAACTTTCTTCAGTTGAACAAGACCGAGGCTCTCCTGATTGGCTCCTGTGAGCGCCTCCACACCTCGGGCACTGACAGCATCACCATCCATGTTGCACACTCCACCTTGCTAAGCCAGTCCAGAGCCTTGGTATCTTGTTTGACCCTCAACTATCTTTTCTATCCCACCTCCGCAACATCACCCGGCTCCGCCACTGTCTCACATCGCAGGCCGATGAAACCCTCATACACGCATTCATAACATCGAGGCTTGACTATGCAAACTCCTTGCTTGTCGTCCTCCCCTACTCCTCCCTCCATGGCTGCAGGTCATCCAGAACTCTGCAGCCCGTGTCCTCTCCCGCACCCTCATCCTCGCCCGACTCCACTGGCTTCCCATCACACAGAGGATACAGTTCAAGATCCTGGTCCTCATCTTCAAAGCCCTCCATGGTCTTGCCCCCCCCTACCTCTGCGACCTCCTAACCCCCAACCAACCCACCCGCTCTCTCCGCTCAGCGGGCTCTGGCCTGCTTCACTTCCCCTGCCTCGCTTGCCCCACCGTCGCCCGCCCCACGTCTATTTGTAGGACTCTGCTGCGCACAATTGACTGCCACATTTTGCCCACAAAATATAGTCAATTCACTTTACAATATATTTTGTGAAGTGCTTTGAGACATCTCAATGACACGATAAGTCTCTAGCGATATCAAATGCAACGATTATTATTATAACTTCCTGATGCACTGTTTACACTGGGATTCTTCTAATTCTAAGTTAATCCATAAGTGAGCTCCTTGATGTTCCTCTTTTCTGCAAGCTACAACTGTTTGGATGAGAAGATTCAGTACTCTTATGGATGTCTTAATGAAAGGGGGAAATATTAATTTGTGTATATTATATTAACGGTAAAATTCCAGACACCTTTAATTAAAAATTTTTTACTGTGTACAAAAAAGCCAGTCTGCTTCCTGCTGTATTTCACCCTGAGCTATATCAGTTAGGTCATTTCTCTTAACTTTTTTCTCATGCTCTGAACTGCGAGAGCAGCTTTTGGTACATGTCTGGGCATGTTCACAGCACAAGTGTGAGCTCGGATGTGTCCAGACTTGTTCAGCATGTGACGTGCCTGTTAGGATGCCTTGTGAGTTCTAAAATATCAACTTGGAATCAAATAAAATAGTGACACTTATTGTAGGCGCTCCCAGAGCACAGATTTTTTAAATGAAGGAATGTTAACACTTACCCTGAAAATGGGCATTTTCAGTGATTACAAGTAAATCCAGAAGCACATGTAGGAAAAGCACTTGATTGTTTTTTCAAAGTTATTTGTTTTCTCTTTCAAGCCAAGATTTTTTTTTGATCAACATGTGAATCCCTGACACCATTGCTTAAGAGTATGCAAATCAGACTGCAAGTTCCAAGTATGTATGCCAGCTACACATGGAAATTTCTTTGTGTCTGGAATGGAAGGAAAGGTATCAATTTAAGATAGTTAGCAAACAAGCAAATGGAAAGGTTGGAACAAATGTTTCATGCACAGAGTAATTAGGAAGTGAATGCCCTGCCATGACCTATAGTTGAGGCAGAATCTATATCAGTTTTCAAAAGGGAACTAGACAAATACCTAAAAAGGAGTAAATCACAGGGATATGGGAAAGGAGCAGATTAATAGGATTAGTGTGGTGGCCAAAGTGCTGCTGGTTGGGGCTAGTAATCGCTGTTTGTGTATTTTATTTTCTTGAATCACTTTGCTAGTTTTCCTTTACGTATATTCAAAGAGCACAGATCAAACTGTAGAGCGGAACTTTCTTTTCTTTATAATGGCACATTTCAATACATGACTGCCAAGTGTTTGAAGCATTTGAACCGTTGTTTTGGAGAAATCCGGCATGTAATCCTATGTGATATTTTCACTACTTCCTGCAATGCATATTAAGTTCTTGCCAACTGATCAGATGGTGCCACATACTTGTGCTAAGGCACAGGATCTCATCTTAACAATTGAACTCATAGTAATTATTTCCAAAAATAAATATTTGGAGGGTACGTACACACACTAAGTTTTAACCACATGAAATCTGTTAACATTGCAATTTATAGCCCAATTGTTAAGACACTGGGATGCAAATTGTAATGTTAAACATTGTAATTTTCACTCCAATATACTGATGAGTCAATGGGATTGACCACACATTCCTAGGATTTGGTGTAATCCTGGGGTTTTTCTGCAGAAAACATGGCAAAATGCCAGGAGCACGACCGTTTTCCTTTTCCAATTTAAAGTAGGAATTTGATTTAGTGCAACTGATAAGCCACAATTATATTCTCCTTTCATTTTTCCTAATGTTACAAGTGAAACACCCTTCAGAACTCCATCCCACAGTCCCTTCATCTTGCTCCCTCTCTTTCCTCCTTTAAGGCCCAGCTCATGACCATGCTCTTCGTCCGCTCCTTCGGGCCTTCCTACCCCTACCCTCCCCACCCTCCACCCCTCCTGATCCCAACCTCCTGCTCAGGTCCAAATCCTTGATTGTCCAGCGCCTTGAGATGTCATCGTGATGTGAAAGGCACTATAAAAAAAAGGCATTTGTTGTTGTTGTTGTTGAAACCCCACACAGAATGGAGTTGCCAGATCCACCAAACAGAAAGGTTTCTTCTGAGAACATTTTTTGTTTATTATATTATATATTAGTATATATTATATATTAAATGTAAGGATTATATATATATACATATATATAAATTCTTGTTGTGCTGTTCAATTTTTCAGTTTAGATATGTGATCTCTTGTTATAACTGCCACCATATTCGCCTCCGATGTCACTATACTTTGTAGTAAATCCCGTGAAGTGTTTTGAGACATGATGTACAAGACTATTTCCAATGCAAAGATCATTATTGTTGTATTGTTATATTATTGTTTTATTACAGGACAACAAAGAGACAGCAGTCTTTCTACGACGGGTGTCCTCAGAGCCAGATGGGAGTTTGTCACATTCCAATGGCAGATCCTTTCTGCAGCCAAACTAGAGAGGTCAGTATTGTATCTCAGGATTTAATATCCTTGCCACTCACTCGCGTCTAGCAGGAATGTGACATTCTCATCCTTGTTTGGGAAAACAGCGGCTCCTGCATTTACGTATTCCATGGAACAATTGTTCCTCAGCATAGTGAAGGCAGGCTTGATGGTCCAATATTTCCTTCTCCTGAATATGTTAAACTGTTTTTTTCCTTCATAGTTGGTTGCAGTTCCATGGGCATCCTCTGGTTCCTCACTTGAGAAATCATTCATGTGTGAGCCTTGGCTGTGCGTGTGTGAGAGAGCAGTGAGCGGCCTTGGCTCTGTGTTTGTGTGTGTGTGAGAGAGAGACAGCAGTGAGCAAGTCTTGGCTGTGTGTGTGTGTGTATGCATGTGAGAGAGAGCAGTGAGCGAGCCCTGGTTCTGTATGTGTGTGTGTGTGTGTGAGAAGCTAACAAGTCTTGGCACTGTGTGTGTTGTGTGTGTATGTTTCTGTGTAATATTAGAAAAAATGAAAGGAGAATATAATTATGGCTCACACATGCTTGTGAGTGTGCGTGCATGCATGTGTGAGAGAACAGTGTGTGTCCATGGGAGGATAACAGTATCACATGCCAGTTACAGTGTCACAACTGGTGCCTGATCCTGTAAGAATTTGTCTAAACATCTTAGGACACAATGTGGTTGAAACAAAGTGTGTCAGTAACATGGATACAGAAGTTCCCTTTTTTTTTACTTTTGTCTGGAGTTTCTATTCTCTGTTGAGAAGGTTTACTCTCTATGATAACCAAACATAAGATGTCTGCTGAAGTTATTGGATTTTTGTGCTAATCCTACTAGTAAGGATGTGTCTTAATCAGTTATACAATAGAGCCTTGCTATAACTTGGTGGTTGGGATGTATAAAATCCATAGCAAGGGATGATAGCAGTTTCACTGTATATGCACTTTTTGAATAAAAATATCTTTATTTATAAATATAATATTTGGTACAACATAAATCCAAAACAAACACAATGTACAACATCTTCTGTTACAATTTTTCCCTTTCACTCGATACAAAAAAACATTCCGTTGTTTACGGTACATTTCCTCACCGCACATAGGTTGTGCACACATTTTTTGGGACGCTCCCTTTAAGACAGTCAGGAGTCGCCCCTGTGTCACTGCATCCATGTGCGGGCCCACACACACCCTGATAAGGCACAATTCCCGCTTTTGGAAGGCTCCCCGATGTGCACCGTGCGCGCACATGTTTACGGGACGCTCTTTGGTTACATCTCAAGCGTTCCCTTACTTCAGTCAGTTTTGGATGCACTCGTGAGCTACCCGGTGGGTGCGGGTTGTGCCGGAGCGGCTCCTGATGGATGGTTAAAGGGCCTCTTTTACCGAGTTTATGATCCTCCAGGCACACTTGATGTTGGTTTCGTTGTGGGTGCCTGGGAATAGCCTGTACAGAACCGAGTGCCATGACAGAGGGTCCCCAGGGACGAACTGAGGGAGTATCCATCTAATCTTCAAAGCACGTCTTAAGATCCTCTTTTTTGACCATGCCTTCAGCCGCCCTCCTATCCCCTCTGGCCTCCGTCATCCCAATCCTGTGCCCACCCCACCCCCCATGCTCGTACCTGATCACTGACTGTTCAGCTCCTTTGGATGTCCTCCCGATGTGAAAGGCACTTTACAAATGTAATTTTGTTGTTGTTTTCCAAACCACCTTCGCGAAACAACACTTAAGGAGCAGGTGGTCCACAGTCTCCTGGCCTCTGCAGCCGGCCCGAGGGCAGCGCTGACCGGCCCAGACCTTGACCGTGCATGAAAGCCCTGAGGGGGAGGGCCTCTTTTAACGCCAGCCAGGCAATGTCCTGATAGTTTTTGGTCAGGGCTGGTGACGAGGCATTTTGCCAGACATGACTGGCAGTCCCCGCAGGATACCTCCCGATCTGGTCTGCCCTCTCCCCCTTTCTAACTGTTTCGACTACCTGCCACATGAACCATTCAGTGACTGCGCGGGGGTCTGGTATGGTGCTCTTCAGAAATTTCTCATTCAGCTCCAATTGTGTGGAACATTTCGACCTGGGCCATTTTAGCATGAAAGCTGGCTGTCTTGCAGTTGCGCGCCAAGTAGCATTGTGCAAATTCGTTTTCTGTGCATTATCCTGACTCAGTTGGTGACACTCTCACCTCTGAATCTGAGATTATGGATTCATGTCCCATGTTAGGACACGGAACCCATATATCTATGCTGACTCTCCAACGATGAAGGTCCTTTCAAAGTGCTTCACAGGATTTTTTTGTAGACAAATACAGCAGTCAATTTGCACAAAGCGATGACCTACAAACAGCCATGAAGTGAATGATCAATTTTATTCAGGAGATTATTGACCAGGACACTAGCAGAAACTCCCTTCTCTTTTGAGGGTCAGGGAGACAGGAGGCGGTTTAACATCTCATACACTCTTGCATGAAAGGGGGTGGAAGCCAATTCGATAACAGCTTTCGAGAGAAGTAGATAGATATTTGGAGAGGACAAATTTGCAGGGCTATGGGGAGAGCGTGGGGGAGTGGGATTTATTTGGATAGCTCTTTCAAAGAGCCGACACGAACACGATGGGACTGATGGCCTCTTTCTGTGCTGTCCCAAAGAGAGACCTGAGTTCAATTCCAGGCAGGGCGAAACCTTGGGCAAGTTTCCTTACTCCACACGCCTAATAATAATCCCTCCAAAACAAAAAACAATAATAAATTGGTCATTTTCAATCTACGACTGTTTGTGGGACATTGCTGTGTGCAATTGGCTGCCGCGTTCGCTCACAAATATACAGTCAATTCACTTTACAATATATTCTGTGACGCACTTTGTGACGTCTAGAAGACGTGAAAAGCGCTCTATCAAATGCAAGGATTATTATTGTTATTAAAGTGTGCACTGGAGGCACTGCCGGAGTCTAACCATCTAAAGTTGCACAATGTGCCATTGTGAGCAAGAGAGTACACCAATAAAGAAGTGATTAGCTGCAAGAATTAATGCAAGTTGCAGGACACATTAATCACCGATGCTTTGAACTTGCCCTGATGATCAGGACATTGTTAAGTGACAGATCTTTAAACTGTCTCTTGTCTTTTATGTTCCCCAAACCTTTATTGTCAGTTGCTGGTTAACAGTGCAAAGAAGCTGGGAATTAAACACCACATGAAGGGGACCATGATTACAATCGAAGGACCCCGGTTCTCCTCCCGGGCCGAAAGTATCATCTTTCGTCAGTGGAATGCCGACGTTATCAACATGACCACTGTCCCCGAGGTGGTGCTGGCTAAGGAAGCCTCCATTTGCTACGCTAGCATTGCTATGGCAACCGACTATGACTGCTGGAAGGAGAACGAAGAGGCGGTTAGTATCAAATCCTGTTTCCCTCTCCCAACTGATTTGTTGATGTGGCGCTCAAGTAAAACAAACCAAAATTGTGAGTGGTTGTGATGGGACAAATGGAGGCAGATTATTTCCACTAAGTCAGTGATGAAAGGGGTGAGTTGAGAATCAACACCGGAAGAAAGGAAAGGGTGCATAGATGAATGTTTTGCACACCCTTCGAATTGGCACTGCCTTGCTTCAAAACGTGGCTGAAGCTGAGTCCGCAACAGCATTTAAAAGGGAAATGGGCACAATCTCAATGAAAGCTTAATATGAGGGTGATGGATTTAGTGTCGATGGATAGCTCCAGTGAGAGAGCTAAACAGACATGATGGGTTGAATTATCACCTTCTGTTCTGGCAATATTGAATCTCTCCAACTGCTTCAGAGTGTTCACAGTGCACATATAGACTCAGTTGGCAATGGTGAGAAGTGAGCCTTACAGAAAGGGCAAGGGTTTTGTTTTTTCAAATGACCAATGACACTCTGCTCCAGTGTGATCACCTTCCAATTACCAGAAGTAACTTAGGACACTTCCACTTCTCACCCAGAATTGCTATAGGCTACAACAACAGCAACGGAAACTTCCACTTATGTTTCTCTTTCACATGAGAAGACATCTGAAAATGCTTGATAAAGTCAGAGTGAGAGTTGGGGGCAGCAGGGAGATGCCAAAAGGTGCAGTCAACTTTGAACTTTGTTACGATCTTAATCTCATTTCGCTGGCTCCAATGTGGGTAATGGGCTTACGAATGGACCATGATTCAATTTTTTTTGGCATCATACAGAGAACCTGTAATTCTGTACTGTAACAAACATTTACACTTCAGCAATATACAGGGAAAGAGCAGGGGGTTGGGATTAAAGTAGTTTACTCCAGTAAGGGAGCAATTACCAGTATAAACTCAATGGGCTGTGCTGGAATTTCTGTGATTTGTGTCACTGTATTTCAAAGTCTGTGACGGGTGCATAGATCAGATGCTAAATAGAATAGAGAAAGTCATACTAAAACAATACATTCACATACGCCAAGGAAGTGGAACAAGAGGAAATGGGTCCAATGTTGTGAAAGGCAATCTTAGGACAAACACCAGGAAGTATTTCTTTGCACAGAGGGTGGTTAACAGCTGGAACAGGTTACCAGGAAGGATGGTTGAGCCCAGGACACTGGAGTCGTTTAGGAAACTGATTGATACTGTAATAGGCAGACCGTACAGTGGGTATTCTGGAAGGATGAGATCAAATAAACACTTTAAAGTGTAGTGACTGTATGTTTTGTGGAGTCCTGTAGCTCAGTGGTTAGAGCACTCACCTTGCAAGCGAAACACCTGGGTTCAATTCCAGGCAGGGCGAAACCTTGGGGCGAGTTTCCTTACTCCACACACCTAATAATAATCCCTTCAAAACAAAACAATAATAAATTGGTCATTTTCAATCCACGACTGTTTGTGGGACACTGCTGTGCGTAATTGGCTGCCGCATTTTGCCCACAAATATACGGTCAATTCACTTTACAGGATATTCTGTGAAGCGCTTTGAGACGTCAAGAAGACGTGAAAAGCGCTATATCAAATGCAAGGATTATTATTATTAAATGGGCCAGAAGGCCTTCTTTATCTTCAATGTTCTTGTTATCATTCTGAGAGGTACAGCTGGCTTGACTGGTTAGTTCAAACAAGTGGTGTTTGGATAAACATCCCACTGTAGTGACAAACAAAATTATAAATTGTACAGAAGCCTCTGAGCAGGTGACTTTGTGCAGTCTGTTTCTTCACAGAAGAAGGCAGACAGGGAACCCAGTTAACAGGCTGCAGAAATTGTCTTAACATTTAAGATTGTGCAGCCTATTGGAAAAGTTTTCAATGCAGTCTTAATTTGCAAGCCATTTATTCACAGTTCTTCTTAAGATTGGTAAACCTGAACTGGGGTGAATGTGGCTGGAGGCTTACTGCAAATACTGACAAGGATTTCTGTACTGTCCTACACCTGGGGGTAGGGAAGGGGAATAGAATGTTCACTGGAGTGTAACCCTGGTTCAGTTGAAATGGTTGTCTTTCGTATCCACATATGGATGTGTCACACACCTGGGCGTGTGAATTTGTTTATAGTGTAGAAGCTGCTGCCCGCACAGCAACCACACGCCCTGGTAGCAAGCAGTGTAACCCGGTGTCAACGAATATCCAAGAAGACCAGACCAGTTGCTAACCACATTGGCAGAAACCATTACCCCTGGAAAGGGATCTGCCAATCGACTAACAACCCGGTTCCTACTTATTGCTAGGTAAACAACAACAACAACAGCAACAACAACAAGATTGCATTTATAGAGCACCTTTCACGTCGGGAGGACGTCCCAAGGCGCTGGACAGTTGGTTCGGGACCCGAGCAGGGGGGAAATGGTCAGGGTGAGGGGAGGGAAGGGAGGGAGCAAGGAGGGGGGAAATGGTCAGGGTGAGGGGAGGGAAGGGAGGGAGCGAGGAGGGGGTAGAGAGTCAAGAGGGGAGCTGAAGGCACGGTTGAAGAGAAACAACCAGGTGTAGAGTAAGGAAAGCTGCCTGATGTTTTGTTCTGCCTCAGAGGCGAGCGCTCTAACAACTATACTACGAGACTGAGTTAAATATGCAGCGATTTTTAACGGGAAATTGCTGATGCTCATTACCAGAAATACATCACTGCAGCACCAGGAACGCCGCTCCAGTATGATCTTCTGGTTACAGGAATGTCAGCAAGATTATCAGCAGCCAATATCACTGTATATTACACTCGATTCCATAGACATTGAAATATGTTTGTTCAAAACTCCCCGGGATCTGTTACTGTGAAGCGCTCTGAGACGCCGTCCGGTGTGGAGGGCGTTATATAAATCCAAGTTGTTGTTTTTAAAGTTTAAAAAAAAACCAGGCGAAACAAAGTGCTGATCCCAAAATTCATGAATTAAGAAAACCAAACAACAAAAAAGTTCTGTTTCCAATTTTGGAAAAGGCAATGTTATCCTGATACCACACCAACCTATATTATCACAGAGGCTAGATATAATAAATAATGATAATTCTTAAATTTAATGTAATGTCTTATTACGTCACCGAAACATGTCAAAGCACTTCGCTTAACAATAAAGTATGGGTGACTGTATTGTAGGCAAACGCAATTTGCACTCAGTAATGTCCCATTAAGCACTTTGGGACGTCCTCCCGACGTGAAAAGTGCTATATCAAATGCAAGGATTATTATTATTATTATTATATACAGCCATGAAGTGAATAACCAATTTACCTGGGGAATTGTTGGCCAGGACACCGAGAGAAACTCCCTTTTCTTTTTGTGCCATGGGATCTTAAACATCCACCTGAACAGGCAGACGAGACCTTGATTTAATATCTCATCCAAAGAACGCCACCTTCAAAAGCACTGCACTCCCTCATTGCGGTGCAGGCCGAGTCTGCAAGCTCAAAGTCTCAACACAGGACTTGAACTCACAACATTTTGACTCGAGATGAAAGTGTTATCGACTGAGGCAGGCTGAAAATTAATCAGGAGAAACCACTTCAAAAGGCTTGCCGCGAAAAGCGATTGTCACTTCTAAACTGGCAGCTTGTCGTTGGTCACTTTGAAGTTACATTATGCGTGATGTGGGGGTGGATGCCAGTGTTTCTGTTTGTCTTGGGTCTGAGCTGACTTAACCCCACAGAGCTCACCACCTATGTTCCCACTGTAGTTGTACTATGAAATACTGGTAAATTTCACGCTACTTGTCTAGGTATAACAACAATAACAAATTACATTTGTGTAGTGCCGTTCACATCAGAAAGATGTCCCAGGGTGCTGGACAATTGGGTTTTGGACCCGAGCTGGGAGTTGGGGTCAGAAGGGGAGTAGGGAGGGGTGTGGGGGGAGGGTGCTCGGATACATGATCGAAGAGGAAGGTCTTCAAACCGGACTTGAAGGAGACAAAGGAGGGAGTGAGGCAGAAGGATTGCAGGATACAATCCCAGAGTGTTGGGGCAGAGATGCTAAATGCCCGACCGCCAATGGTGGGGCAGGACGTGCAGGGAACCTGAAGCAGGCTGGTGTCCGCTGAGCGGGGAGGCTCATATAGCATTATGAGGTCGGAGAGGTCAGGGGAGTAAGACAGTGGAGGGCCTTGAAGATAAGTGGAGTCCTGTAGCTCAGTGGTTAGAGCACTCGCTTTGCAAGCGAGAGACCTGAGTTCAATTCCAGGCAGGGCGAAACCTTGGGCAAGTTTCCTTACTCCACACAGCCTAATAATAATCCCTCCAAAACCCCAAAAAAAACAATAATAAATTGGTCATTTTCAATCTACGACTGTTTGTGGGACATTGCTGTGCGCAATTGGCTGCCGCTTTCGCCCACAAATATACAGTCAATTCACTTTACAGTGTGTTCTGTGAAGCGCTTTGGGACGTCCTCCCGACGTGAAAAGCGCTATATCAAATGCAAGGATTATTATTAAGGATTATTATTATTATAAGAATAAGGGTTTTGTATTCGATTCTCTGTGGAATGGGGAGCCAGTGAAGCCGGGCAAGAACAGGGGTGATAGGTTCCCGGAGCCTGGTGTGGGAGAGGACACGAGCTGCACAGTTCTGAATAATCTGCAGCTTGTGGAGGGAAGAGTTGGGAAGTCCAGTGAGCAGGCGGTTGGTGTAGTCAAGCCAGGATGTAATGAAAATGTGGATCAGGGTATTGGCGGCCTGCAGTGAGAGGCAGTGGCAGAGGCGGGCAATATTGTGGAGCTGTGGAAAAGCGGAACGGGTCACAACACGAATGTGGTGTTTGAAGGATAGCTGACGGTCGAAAAGGACATCGAGGTTTTGGATTGGCTCGGTGAGGTGAAGAGTGAAGTCATGAATGGTAATAGCATCAGCGGCTGAGGTGAGGAGGCGCTGCCGGGAGCCAAGCAGGAGGGCTTCTGTCTTGCCATCATTGAGCCGGAGGAAGTTGGCTCTCGTCCAGTACTT